CCAGAGGCTCGACTAGAGCCATTTGTTGGACATCTCGGACGAAGAGCCAGGGCACAAGCCCCAGATCCACGAACAACAACATTCAGCCTGGCCAACAGCACCATGCGAATTGTAATTTGGCACGAATTTGGGTCAAAATCGCAATTAGTACTCACTGGTTGTCTAACTACCTGGCCCGATGAGCGGAAGAAAGAGGGTGGAGCTGGATTTTCCACAACTCTCGGGTGCCAGCAAACAGTTGGCATCGCCCCATGAAGGCCAACTTCACATTTGAGGACGACCTGGCAAATCTTATGAATAAATTATCAGTATGTCATTGACAAGATGTTCTTGCCACCTATTTGATTGTATATGTACATATATTTGTATTTAGGCTGATATTGATAAATTGAAAATTTCTGGAAAGCTAAATAAAATTAAAGGCAGAAGAACTGTACTTTATATTAAAAGGAAATTTAGCAAAGAACATTTTAAAGCTAAGAAACTTAATGGCAACTGCTAAACAAGATAAGCAAATTATTTATCATGTTTATGAAACTTTCTTAAATCTTAGCAAACATAGTGATCAAATACCATATTTAAAATGTATTTCTGTACGTAATGTAATACTTTTTGCAATAAAAATTTAAAAATTTAAGAAAGTTTACTATAACTGTGCATAAATCAATTCTTTCACATGTTTTTAAAAACATATTATTGAATCTAATTTCCCTAAACCCCTTATATAAGCTTTATAAATATTTGGGTTATGTGGTTTCTTTCGTTAAAGAATTTCGATTGCTTTTTTTGAGTATGTATGAAAATTTTTAAAGTTTTAGAATGTTTACTAAAAATGTGGATAAATAAATACTTAATTAAAAAACAGAGATAGTTACTGTGGAACTTTCCTAAATCTAATTTCAATAACTCGAATTCTTCTTAGTTTATTAGTTTGGCATGCGAAATTAAAAAAAATATTTCGGATATATATTTTTTTGTGTTAAACAATTGTATTTATGAGTTATCTGTAAATTTAAATCACTTTAAAATTGCTATAACTTACTTGATGAGCCTATGGTTAAACGGATTCTAAATAGTACCTCCTTGATTATACTTTATTCTCCAGGTGAGATCCGCTCCTCAATCGCACCACGCAAACCGGAGCGCACGGCCAGCATGCGGGAGCGGGAGGCGCAGCTGGAGCTGGTGCGCAAGCGCGGAGTCCTTACCGACACTATCTCCATTTGCTCGTCAAACGGTGACAACGTAGCCACGGACCAGGGCAAGGCGGTGGCTGCCAAGACCAGCGGACAGGAAGCTGGGAAATCCGCCTCAACTGCCAACAGCAGGACCAGCACCTTCGAACGGCAGCCGCAGAAGAAGTGCGAGCCGAAGATGTCCATTTCCAGCAAACTGGAGATCTTCGAGCAGCGATCCATCGATGCTGCGGACGCTGCCCAGCGGAGCAGCCTCAAGGATTCGGTGCGCAAGATCAACAGCACCATCGATAGCTATCTGAAGGACAAGCGCGACTACGAGAACATGTACGAGTTCGTCAAGATGGGCTCTCCGCCACCGCCCTCGGTGGGTGGTAGCACCACGCCCACGCCCTCCACTTCCACGCCTCCGCCGCCGCCAACACGCAGCAATATCGATCTGGCCGTGGCGGGTCAGAGGTTAACCCAGGCCACGAGACGCAACAATATCTACTCGGACACGGCCTCCATTGCCAGTTATACGCGCAGCGAGTACGGACCAGTGCGAAACTACGGATTGAACAACAGCTTGGGTAGGTTTGGGGTACATCTTTAAGTTCAGCAGAGTTTGGGCTTAAGTTCCTACTAAATTGGGTATTCAAATTGAGTATCTATTGATCGTAGTTCATAGAATCAATGTATCGTTCATGCTATGTTCATATAATGGGGCAATAGGCAAACTAAGCAAAAATATATCAATCAAAACTAACTGTGTTAAAGTAATAGTTTTTGAAAATAGGGTAATATAAAGGCAAAAAAAAAAAAAAAATTAAAAAAAAAAGTATGGTACAAATATATTTGAATAATAGTTTTCAAGATTATTTTAATAATTACAAAGTACACGAAAGGGTTCAAACGTCTTGGCAAGTTATCATGTAGAGTATATCTTTTGATATGATATTGCTTAGATTTCCTAAAGAGCTCATAAGGTTTAATATATTGAGTTGCTGCTGTTTTGTTCTACCTTCTAAGCTTGGATCTATTTAATGCAATACTTAACTCCATATTAGTTTCCATTCTTTAGCCAAAGATAACTTACCCTTGATTTCCAATTTCAGCCAACATTCCACGCATCATTTCCGCCTCGTATGCGGGCAGTGAGGTGGGCGAGTTCGATATCTATGCTCCGTACAGCTACTACGGAAGCGAGGCGGGCGGCGATGTGGCCACGGACATCAACGACAGCGTCTGGGGCATGCCACAGGTTAGTTTATATTTCATAATACTTTGATTGAGCAATCAACTTATTTAACTTTTCCAAAGGCCAACAAGAACCGCAGCAAGGCCACGAATCGTTTGCGCATGCGCAAGGGACGCAGTGTCGTGCACAAGACCATAGAGGACAACTACACCGCCGTGGTGGTGGCCAATCACGAGGCCCTCGCCCAGGTGTTGGATCAGGTGGGATATATTTGTTTTGCTCATAAATAATAATAATTATAAATAACTATTTCTAACAGCTCCAGCAAACTCCAGTGGTGCCGGCAGCCCTGCGTCCACTGGCGAACGCCATAAACTTGCGTTACGAGGACTTCACCATTCTGGAGGGTGCCCAGGCCTTTGTGGTGGGCAAGAAGGCCTTCCATGCGGCCCTGTGGAGCTCCTCGCCGGTGACCCTGGCCCTGTCGGCCGACTGCAACCAGCTGGCCGGAGTGGGCGGCGAACTGAGTCAGCTAACAGGCGGCGTGAGCGATGTGCTCAACCCGGTGACGGAGTTCTGTGACCTGGTGCCCAGCTACCAACTGCCGTTGATGCCCTCCACGGAGGTGACCCTGCTGCAGGCCACCATTTCGGTGCTGCCGCGGTTGCAGCTGGAGACTCTCCAGTCGATCGGATCAATACTCAAGGGCAAGTCGCAGGTGCTGGACAAGAGCAACTTCAACTTCCGCGGCTCCATTCCGAATCTCAGTGGGTTGAAGGATGGCTGCCATCCTGGTGGCGTGGCCGGGAACCTAAGGAACGTGGTCTCCGTGCAGAATCTGAGCACCCTGAACGAGGAAGCCTCGGCCACATCGATGGGTGCCGAGGATGGATTGGCCAGTGCAAATGCCATGCCCGCATTCGATGATGTGATGACGCGCGAGGTGGCCTTCATCATGCTGCAGCTGGTCAACGGGATGAAGAATCTGCAGGCCAAGGCGATCGAGGAGACGCCGCTCAGTCTGTCCAATGTGGTGCTGTCCAAGGACATGGACAACAAGGATGCCCAGGCTCGACTTTGCGTACTGCAGGGGTTAGTTACAATTCCCCACAACTTTGGAAACTTACTTAATGACTTTATTACCTTACCTTATTGTAGGAACAACAACGACGACGACGAACCCATGGGTACGCTGTGCAAGTGCGCCCACTCTGCCCTGACCGACATGCTGCCCGCCACCAAGATCACACCCATCCTGGCCGACATCCTGCAGCAGGAGCGGGCCGAGTCCCTGTCCAAGGCCAAGGCCGTGCTGGAGTTCGTGCTGTGGGGTCCCTCCGATGTGGCGCTCTCCGGTTCGATCAAGGAACGGGAGTTGGCCCTTCAGCGCTGGCTGGATCTGGAACGGGCCACCGTGCTCCATGGACTGGTGCGCACACGGGTCGAGCTGACCGTCTACGACGAGTGTCATCTCATGTTCCTTGTCCGCTCCACGGCCAAGATGATGAACGATGCGGCCAAGATCGTGTGCAGCTACCAGCAGGCGAATGGAACTGCCAGCCAGGATTAGCCCCTATCTTATAGATACTTTACGAAACTGTCATAGACATTTAGTCCCTAGAGTCAACGAATGATATTTTCTTGAGTCGATCGACCCATATACACATACTATACACATATCTATATCTTTGCCCAGCGTGCCAAATTGTTTCGCGCGGAAATTGTCATGTAAAATATGCTTATCGTATGCAAACTCAAAACGATTTGTGCAACTTTAATTAATTTGTAATCTACTCTTAAGTCATTAATCTAAACGAATATTTATATATCCCTAAACGAGTACGAAAATTGGTATACTTCATCAGATTTCTGCTACTATCTATGAACAGGCCAACAATTTGATTAGCAAAACAAAACTTTTTGGTGTTTGAACAAATACATATATGGTAAACCTAAACAAAATACTGTCTAAATAAATAAATGGAAATCTATAGGCGTTGTTTGTTATTTGGTTAAGCGGTATCAATTTCCTAGCTAAATCAACAATTGTGTTGATGGAACAAAAGTCCATTTAGTCTGATGCAATGGTTGCTACTAGCCAAGAAAATTATTGAAATTGTGTTTTAAAGTCTTTGTCAGCTGAGTGTGGATTTGTTGGCCAAATGATTAGATAAAATATTCGCAACAATATTCTCTCTTTACTCTAGCAATATTTTTGAATCTATGCCAATAGGTTTGACCAATCGTATCAGCTATAATACTGCTTTTTTGATTTTACTGTATTTGGGTATATAGTTTTGACTAATATTTGCAACAATATTTTCTAAAATATTATATTTTTGATAGGCAGCATATCACAAATTATTCAACCTGCTAGAAAGTATGCATTTGTACTTCCTTTATTTTAATTATCTTATCTATCTGCTTAAGAGCTATAGATAAACTCACTGTAAGGGGTATATTTAAGTCGACATTCTATTTTCTTTTTACTGAATGTTTGCCATATGTTTTCGTAAGCAATTTGCAAACTCTCGCGAACCTGTTTTTTTACTTACTCTCTCTTATAGAATGTTTGGTCATTAGAAAAATATAAAGCTTGTAGAACAAACGCCTGGTGTGAGTAGTTTCACTTTGACCGTGAGCAAACCAAGTTCTTAACGTTAAAAAAATGTTGAAAGGCCGAATCGGTCTAGTTATACTACAGTCGCAAAAAGCGGCTCTCTTTTCGGCCAGTCAACAGGTAAACCAATATTGTTTCAACATTAACAATACAATAACAATTCTAAAAGAGGAGAAAAAATTGTGATGGAAAAAGAAATTTAGTTGTGCACAGAATCTCATAGTTTGAATATATTTTATAGCGATGGCAGACAAATGTGGCTGCAGCTGAGATCAGAGACGATCCAGAATGGCTCCAGGCCAAGCCATTCGAAGAGATTCCCCGGGCCAATATGCTATCATTGTTTGCGAAAACTGCGATGCCCGGCGGGAAGTACAAGAAAATGGAGTTGATGGAAATGTTTGAGGCCATGCGCCAGGACTACGGAGATGTATTCTATATGTCCGGCATGATGGGAAGCCCGGCGTTTGTTGTGACGCACAATCCCAAAGATTTCGAGGTGGTTTTCCGGAGTGAAGGCGTGTGGCCATACCGACCGGGCGGTGATGCACTGCGCTATCATCGAACCGTGTACAGAAAGGACTTCTTCGATGGAGTTCAAGGAATCATTCCCTCACAGGGTAAGGCGTGGGGAGACTTTCGGTCCATCGTAAACCCCGTGCTGATGCAGCCCAAAAATGTGAGGTTGTACTTCAAAAAGATGTCGCAGGTTAATCAGGAGTTTGTGGAGCGGTAACACAACTTTAAACAATTATATAAAATCCATAATAAATAAATGTAATATCTTTAGCATCAAAGACATAAGGGATGCCACCACTCAGGAGGTTCCTGCCGATTTCCTAGACACCATCAACCGCTGGACCCTGGAGTCCGTATCCGTGGTTGCCTTGGACAAGCAGCTGGGCTTGTTAAAGGACTCCGGGAAGGACAGTGAAGCCACCAAGCTGTTCAAGCACCTGGATGACTTCTTCATCCTCTCAGCCGATCTGGAGATGAAGCCCTCTCTCTGGCGATATTTCAAAACACCACAGTTCAAGAAAATTCTTAAAACAATGGATGGGCTTCAAAACATCACATTGGCCTATGTGGACGAGGCCATCGAGCGTTTGAAGAAGGAGGCTGAGGAGGGTGTGGTACGTCCGGAAAATGAGGAAAGTGTGCTTGAGAAACTGCTGAAAGTTGACAGGAAAGTGGCCACTGTTATGGCGATGGACATGCTAATGGCAGGAGTTGATACTGTAAGTTTTTTATTTCACTCAAAAGAAATAATATTAATAGTGTACTTACCTTTATCCAGACTTCAAGCACCTTTACGGCACTCTTGCTGTGCCTGGCCAAGAATCCCGAGAAGCAGCAAAAGTTGCGGGAGGAGGTGATGCAAGTGCTGCCCCACAAAGACTCCGAGTTCACCGAGGCCTCGATGAAGAATGTCCCCTATTTGCGGGCCTGCATTAAGGAATCCCAACGTATATACCCACTGATCGTTGGTAATGCCCGCGGTCTGGCCAGGGATTCGGTAGTGAGCGGCTATCAGGTGCCAGCTGGAACCTTTGTTTCTATGGTCCCCATAGGTTCCCTCCACAACGAGGAATATTTCCCCAAAGCCTCAGAGTTCCTGCCAGAACGCTGGCTGCGTAACGCCAGCGATTCCTCCGGAAAATGCCCGGCAAACGATCTGAAGACCAAAAACCCATTCGTATTCCTGCCCTTCGGATTTGGGCCTCGAATGTGCGTGGGCAAACGCATTGTGGAAATGGAACTGGAGTTGGGCATTGCCAGACTACTGAGAAACTTTAATGTGGAGTTTAACTATTCCACAAAGAATGCTTTCCGTTCCGCTCTTATCAATCTGCCAAACATACCACTAAAGTTTAAGTTCACTGATGTACCATTCTAATAAATTAAATATTGAGGCTTGACTCCTATTTGTTGTGTAATGATAAGATAAATGTTTTTTGTGTATATACTTTCATAAAAGTACTTTAAGAAATATATGTGTTTTCGTTGGGTGGAGTAGTTGTTTAATCTCGATAACAATAGGGAATTCTGATAGAAAATGTACTAGCAGGGTATATATACATAAAAAGTGCTATAATTTGAAACAAACACCTGAATAAACTACAATTTTATAAACTAGTTTTATATTTTTTACTTAGTCAAAGAAAATGTATTTATACGAAAAGCTTTTTACACTAAGGTGGAATATTCAATAGTCATGGTGACAATATTTTGTTGGCATTGAACCTGACCGATATGAACGGGTAAGCCGCTTAATTTGTTTGTACTTATTATAGGTTTGTTGTTTGTCGACAACTAAATCATTTAAACATTGACAAGATCGAGGGGGGAGGATGTTTACTTCTGTTGCCCTATAAAATATGCATAAAAGTAAATTCTATGCAAACATTTTAATTAAATAAATATATTTTCTGCTCTCTTGAACCTGTTTAGAAGCCAGTTCGCTATGGGTCGCTATCTCTCTGTTGGTGTGTTGTTATCGTTCAATTGAAGCTCTCACAGCGTTAGAATTATAAAGCTATTAGAACGAACACTCGGTTGTCAGTTTTGTTTTGACGGTGAACGAGAATAGTTCCTAACATCGCGAAAATGTTGAAAGTGCGCAGTGGCCTATCATTAATTCAGTCGCATAAAGCGGCTCTCTCGCTCAGCACTCAAAAAGTAAATAAATATAATAAATATAAACAATTAACCTGGGAACTGTTATGCGCTTTATCAAGTGGTGTTTTCTTTTCCACATTCGAGTGTACTTGCAAGAAAACCAAGCACTAAAAATATTTTTTATATATATACCTATTATCCGTAATTGTTTTAGCGCTGGCAAACTAATGCGGCAACGGCTGAGGCTAGAGAAGATGCAGAATGGCTGGAGGCCAAGCCATTTGATCAGATCCCCCGCACCAATATGATATCACTGATGATGAAAATGTCGATGCCCGGTGGTAAATACAAGAACATGGAACTGATGGAAATGTTTGAAGCCATGCGACAGGACTACGGTGACATATTTCTTATGCCCGCCTTTATGGGTAACCCTCCATTTCTGAACACCCACAATCCCAAGGACTTCGAGACGGTCTTTCGTAACGAGGGAGTGTGGCCCCATCGGCCCGGTAACGACACACTGCTCTACCATCGCGAGGAGTACAGGAAGGATTTCTACCAGGGCGTCATGGGCATCATTCCCACGCAGGGCAAAGCCTGGAGCGACTTTCGAACCGTCGTCAATCCCGTTCTCATGCAGCCAAAGAATGTGAGACTTTACTACAAGAAGATGTCGCAGGTCAATCAGGAGTTTGTGCAACGGTAAAAGGCTCTAGAAAATTATAATAATTTATATTTTAAAATCAATTTACTTTAACAGTATCAAAGAAATAAGGAACCACAGTACTCTCGAAGCGCCCGAAGATTTTATAGACACCATTAACCGCTGGACCCTCGAATCCGTATCCGTGGTGGCCCTGGACAAGCAGCTGGGCTTGCTCAAGGACTCAAATAATGAGGAAGAGGCACTCAGGCTGTTTCACTACCTGGACGAGTTCTTTATAGTATCAGCGGACCTCGAGATGAAGCCATCGCCCTGGCGCTATATTAAAACCCCTAAATTGAAGCGATTGTTGAAAGCTTTGGATGGCATTCAGGAAGTCACTTTGGCCTACGTGGATGAGGCTATAGTTCGCTTGGATAAGGAAGAAAAGGCGGGAGTAGTAAAGCCAGAGAGTGAACAAAGTGTCCTCGAGAAACTATTGAAAGTAAACAGGAAAGTGGCCACTGTTATGGCCATGGACATGCTTATGGCAGGAGTTGATACTGTAAGTACTCATTATAATCAAAGAAAATAATATTAATAGTATGCTTATTTTCATCCAGACTTCAAGCACCTTTACGGCACTCTTGCTGTGCCTGGCCAAGAATCCCGAGAAGCAGCAAAGGTTGCGGGAGGAGGTGATGCAGGTGCTGCCCCACAAAGACTCCGAGTTCACAGAGGCCTCCATGAAGAATGTCCCGTATCTGCGAGCCTGCATTAAGGAATCACAGCGCGTCCATCCACTGATCGTTGGAAACGCTCGGGTTCTTTCTAGAGACGCTGTTCTCAGTGGTTACCAAGTGCCAGCTGGAACTAATGTGTCCATCGTTCCTTTGCATGCCCTCACTAAAGATGAGTACTTCCCACAAGCTTCAGAGTTCCTGCCGGAGCGTTGGCTGCGCAGCCCCAAGGATTCGGGGTCAAAGTGCCCGGCCAGCGGTCTTAAGTCCACGAATCCATTCGTATTCCTGCCCTTCGGTTTTGGACCTCGCATGTGCGTTGGCAAACGCATTGTCGAAATGGAACTTGAACTGGGTATCGCTCGAATCATTCGTAACTTTAATGTGGAGTTTAACTATCCCACGAAAAATGCATTCCGATCGGCCCTGATCAACCTACCAAACATTCCGCTCAAGTTTAAATTTACCGATTTGCCAAATTAATCTATTTTTACTTGCATTTAATCAAAGGTAAATAGCTATGACATTGCGTGCTAAATTGTTGTGATAACTTTGGGCCATTCTATGTTGTAGTCAGTCAGTAAATAATCTGAACATATATGGGAAAAATAATCAGTTTCTTTAATCCCTTAGATATATTTTTACATTATTTTTAAAATATTAATTTAAAATATATAAAAAAATGTATATATATTATTTGTATGGTTTTAACGAAACCTTTACCCAATCCACCAAGAAATAAAAAACATCGTTTGTCTTTACATTTAAAGCTATTTCATTTCCAGTTTAATACACACTCAAATATATATATATATATGTATCTTTTGTAGATGTATAAGTATACGGATACTAGACATTAGTACACTCAATACGGTATATGGTACATTCGTGGTAAACATTTTACAACAGTGTTACAGTTAAACAGCTCATGGATTCCGGTAAGAAAAGGGGCAGGTGCAGTGACCATAACTGCATTGCGTACAATTGGATTTGGGTGTTTTTGTTATACCAATTTCAACAATTAAATAGTTATCTAGCTTAAAGGGCAAAATGCTTGTAGAGAGTAAATATTCAATGGAAATTCCTTGGTTTCTCTTCTATTTTTAAGGTATACATCGAGATATATATATATTTTTGTTATCATAGCTTGTTCGTTTTTGTTGTTAATTTTTTTCGTTTGGTTTGGTCCAAATTGGATATTGAAACATTAACAAATTGGTTCACTTGATTTTATTCCGATCTAGGATATCATAGTATTTATAATGTTTACGAAAAGTTTTTATAGAGATGACTTGAAAAGAAGTTGAGTTTTTGATTAGTTTCTTTTACACATGCACTTAGTTTGAGAATAATGAATTGAATTGGAAATTCTACTTAGAAGTTGATTTGGATGTCTGTTTATGAAATCAACAAGAATTCAGTCCAAAAATATGGATATGAGTAGGTCTTCCCTGGATTTACATTTATGGGTTGAAAACCTATGGGATATTTAAGTTGTTAATTTATGATTGGCATGCTTAAGTATTCATTCAGTAAGCTTTAAGAAACAAAAAAAAACAATATATGCCAATAAGGCAAATACTATTGGCTCCTCGCATCCCAAAGATTCACATCTTGCTCGCACACTTGGCTAGTTATACATATTTTATTGTACGCAACTCATGTTGGCAAACTGAATTTTTATGTTTATACTTTAATGCACAATCGATACGCGGGGGGGAAGGCCAGAGAAGTACGCATGAGGGAGTCCTGATATGTGGGTGCACGTTGTTAAGGCTATAAAAACCGAGCAACAAGAAAGTGAAAACGAAAACGACAGATGAATGGAGAATGGAGCCAGGCTTAAATCCTAAGCCACATGTGCGATTGTTTCCCCTGTTCGTATCTGTTCCCAGGCCAGTGTTATGCGGTGCGTGCGAGCGCAATAAAATTTAATTTGATGCAGGCACAAACAAAAGAGCTCCAACCAACCAACCGTCGCCAGAAAAAAAAATGTGAATTTTTTTCCCGCTTCACAAACGAACGAAAACAAAACAGCAGGCCACCGAAACACACTGCATAGTTGTGGGCTGCGAAATAAAACCACAAATGCGGGCGGGACGGAAGTGGCTACAACTCCATGAAAGGAGGATACAAAGAACCCCCGTCACCGCAGACTTAGGGACGAGGGGCGTGGCAACGACATAACATGCAATAAAAATGTGCAAAAGGGCGGCAATCCGTAAAGGACCCTGAGGATACGGATACGAAACCCCATGCCTATCTCAGCCTGGCCAAGAAATAACTCAGAGCGTGTGTGTGTGTGTGTGTGTGAGTGTGAGTGTGTGGGATGTTAATTAGGTTTTGTTACACCGCTTTGAAACACAATTTGAGGTGCTTTAAGCTGACCTTTGCTCGGTGGCACTTGACCTGCTTCGGATAGACAGGCGCCAAGGCTTGAGCCGCCATAAATTTGCACCGACAAGGACATTAGGCGGGCCAAGCTTTTCCTTTTTTCCACCCAACGTGCATACGTATATAAACGTATATATGCAAAACAGCAAATCAATTGTCGCGTCGCCTGCCACTGACAACAACCGTTGTCCAGGGACACTTCGTCCGGCAAATTGCGATTGCATGCAGCATTTTCGTTATTGCGATTCTCGGATTTTAAACACGTTTGTTTTTGGGGATTTAATTTTGGACAGCGGGCGATCGATGCTTCATTAAATATATAAAAGCATCATAAGCTCTGGCACAAACATAAATCAAAATCGCTTATTGATGTCTGCGCAACACGCTGCGTATACTCGATGACATAAACGTGCCGGCAAACAACAGAAGACAAGAAAAGAAACCACGGGGGATGGCGAATACATACAAGTGACATCATTTCTCAGGACAACATTAAACGAAATACATTAACTAATATGAAAACAACAACAAGAAACAATATGATGGCAATGGAGCGAAGCCACCTCAATTATGAGGCGCGACCATAAAATAGACACACCGAATTGTGGCGGAAACTCAAGCGGTAAGGAATATGCAAATGTCTGCCATCCACATTCACATTCACATCCACATCCACTATTAACTATGGACTATAACCTGCTCAATATTTGCGGGCAAAGCTTGGCGTGCCCGGGTTCAGAACGCGGCAATAATGCGAGGTGGTCACGCAATACGGATCCCCATCCAGATCCCCTCCATCATCGTCATCCTCGTCGCCGGTGGCCAGTTGGTGGTGGTGTTGGTGCGGCAGATGCTGCTGCGTCTGTGGCCGGCGGCGCATTGATAACGGTCATTGGCGCTGTTGCGCGCTGCTGATAAACTCGCCGTGTTTTTGCACCTGAAAAGACAGATAAATTAAGGACATGAATAATATATACGAGTTTATCCGGCATTTTTTTCAAGGTTTGAATTGGTTTGCTACTCAGCACACTGAATTATTCAACAGGAGATTAGATTTCTAGTGACTATGAACGGATTTTAGATTAAAGCTCTCGTTTGCCACATGCCATTTATGTTTTCTGGAGAGTAAATTAAAATAAACCATTTTTAGCACACTTTTGGATTCAAGCGAAGTGTAGATGCACGGAATATTTGTGCAAAACTTTTTAAGATAGCTTAGACTGTTTTATTATGGATATATGAAAATATAAAACGAAATTATTTTATATATATTTATATATTCTTGAGACTTTATATAAACGAATGTGTCTAGTCACGAAAACAGATTTAAGAACTATACGCAAGATAAACCTTTTTTGCTGTGATTGTATTGTATAAACAATTAATTTATAATATAGAAATTGAATTTAGTGCAAATTTTGACTCATTTATTGAAGCTTTTGGGTTGGTTAAACTTAAATCTGATTTAAAACAAAAACATTTAAAGTACTGCATATGAAACAGAACTGTAACAAAGTGCACAAAAATTAATAATTCAACAAACATTATCAAACATTAAATCTAACCTTCTTTTAGAAAAAGTTTATAAAAACTTATGTGTCTAGTCAAGAAAACAGATTTAAGAACTTAACGCAAGATTAACCTTTTTTGCTGTGATTGTATTGTATAAACAATTAATTTATTTATAATGAAATTGATTTTACTAGTACAAATTTGGACTCATTTATTGAGGCTTTTGGATTGGATAAACTAAAATTTGTTTTAAAAGAAAAACATTTTAAGTACTGCATATGGAACAGTACTTTTAAAAAGTGCACAAACAATAATAATTCAACAAACACTAAATCTAACCTTCTTTTAGACAACTTAAAGTGTTTCAATAAAAGCAAATCTCAATAAAAACGGTATTTAAGTTTTCTTAAGTTTGGCCCAAAAGCGCAACTCATTATGGCCACCCATTCACTTACCACATCGGCCACGATGGGCTCCTCGATCTCGAGTCCCTGTAGCGTCTGTTCGCGACTCAAATGCAGCTCGTAGGAATCTGTGGGCGTGACGAACACCACGCGATGTTTGCGTGTCTGCAGCACATTGGCAATGACCAGCTGGATGATGACGCGGAAGAAATTAGAAATCGGATTTAAGGGCTACCAGGGAAACTCACCTTGTGCTTGTATTTGTTGAGGCTGTCACGTGCCTTCACAATCAATAGGCTCTCGTCCGTTTCCAGCTTAAAGGACACCACAAAGGCGTGCGGCACCCACAGGCTGGCGAGGGGGGCCAGCATTTTTGGCACCAGCTGCAGCGAAATCGTCGGCGCCCCATCTCCCGATTGCATTTTGTGGGTGGGCTGCAAAATTCGTTGACAGCGGTTAGTGTTTTTAATGGAATGATGGGCCCACGTTGCGTATACGCGATGTGATGGGATTGGTACGTCGGTCGGTTGGCTGGTTCGTTGCCCACAAAAGCCCACAAAAGCCACCGCGGCAACATCCTCTTAAATGAAGAGGACGCACACACAATGCAACACAGACACAGACACTCGCACGCACACTCGGGTAGCAAAGTGTCCTTGCAAAATAAACAGACAGACGGCAAAATGAAAGGCCAGGGCTGCCATTCAGCTTTCGCTTGATTTTTTTCTGTACTTTTTTTACCGCCACGTGGCATATGAATTACAACTAATTGAAAGCATAACTCAGCCGTAATGAGCTAACGTCAACGCCTGGCTGCACATCCTGGGCAAGGCCCTTTTTAAAGTCTTGATACAAAAAATATTGCTCATACGCCGTGCGGGCCAACAGCAACTTGTTGAGTGCCCCTGTCCATTCTCATTAACTGGGCAACGCCGTAAGCTGCTCTAAGCTGCTGACCAGTCTCATTTATCCGGCACACAAAAGCGGGCACAGCCGGACAATGCGGTCGGACATTCGGACAGTCGGACACACAAACGGACAAAGGGACAAACGGACAAACGGACAAACTGGCAGACGGACACGCCTAAGTAGCTGGGACATTGGACGAGGAGAAATGAAAAATTTAGCTCAAGGCATTAAGTCGACAACGAAAAGCGAAAGCAACGGAAAGTCGAAGGATGGGAACTTTAAGCTTTTTTGGGTGGAAAAAGTTAGTGGCTCTTGCGAGCTGGGAAATGCTAGCAGCTGTTGACATTGAATTTTCTTTTCCTGCTTTCCCGCCTTTCTCCCTAGAATCCGACTGCAGTGTGCCTGTGCGTTGATGCGTGCTCTTGTAAAATCTTTTGATTTGATTTGCGGATTTCGGCACGTCGCCCTTTGTCCTGCTCACGTTTTCGTTGTGCCTCCACTTAGTTTACTCTTTTAATTTTCTGTTTGTTTTTACTTGTTACGAGTACAATTTACTTTCGGTTCATGCCCAACATCCCTCCTGGCCCCGATTTAATTCAAATTGTATGGCAAGAAGTTGCCTTCTCCTCGGCCTGTGCATAAATTCGTAAAAGACTTTTAGGCCTTGTTTTCTGGAGGCGTGTGCGTCGTGATGATGCGATTGTGAAATTGAATTTTTAGTATCATCTTGCTATATACTATGTATATACCATTCAGTTCTATGTGTGTAGGCAGCGACAAACTTTGGCAAGTGGTGCGGCAAACGTGTCTGGGCTGTGGTTTGACTTGTTGAAATTCAGTATGGGACCCGACCTTGGCTTTAGGGCTAACGAGATGGCGGCCAGATCCTTGGGAATGAGTTTACAATTTTCCCAGAAACTCTGCTAATAGCTAATGGGGGGAAAATAGATTTTAGTTGCCTACTTTTGAGCAGGAAAAAGTCCTTGTACCACTCGTAGAGCAACTTGAACGTGCTTTATTTTCAATGCATCGAGCTTGAATGCTTCTATTTATACATTACCAAGAGCTTATTATGCAAATTCAAATCGATTGCAGGCAAATCGTGTTGCCCCCGGGAGAGTTTTCGGGCAGCACTCAAAGATGATGCCAAGTATGCGCATAAATTTCACTACACACTTGCATAAACATCAACAGGCCATTTTCGCCATTTTCGGCATATTCTACATTTTGCCCAAGGCTACGAACCGTGAGAGTATCTGACAATTTAATCAAGTGTACGAACGATTTGTGGCTAACAGACACGTTTAGAGCAAACACAGACAAAGTGGGCGAATGTCTTAAGCGAAAAAGCGAAAGGGAAATGCACGAGTTGAACGGAAACAAGGCGTAGGAAATGCCTCGACGATGCTCGGAATCGGAATTGAAATCAGAATCAGGCTCAGTTGGTTGGCGGTGGCAAGAGAAAAATTTCCGTGCATCTACCAAGCGATTTACAGATAGGGTTAATACAGCAGCAAAATCTAAAAAGTATAATTTTCGATTTTTAAACAGTTTTTGCGGTTTGTTGAAAAGTAATAACCATAAATAAAAACCTGTAATATTTATTTTGATTCTGTGTTATAACATAAAAGCAAAGAAAGTCAAGGATGTCCATTAAATTGTAGACAATAAATTAATTATGCAAAATTAAGTTTCACATTTTTGTTCTATAAAACATTTACCTTTAAAGTTAACTTTTAACAAATTGTTTTTAACAATAATTAATATATATGCTTTCAATCTGTTAATTTTTAAACCATTGCCGTACAACATTTAAGCTAAACTTAAAACGGATGAAATAATAAAAAGCCAGTTCCCAGAGGAATTTCAGTACTACAACTGTGACCTCCACTGTATATTCCCATAAAATACATGTGTGATGGTATGTAAATGCAAACGGGCAGGTAAATAAAGAGGGGCGAAAGGCGGAGCCATTCACGCCCCACCAATGGACATTTGATGCACTTGAAAGCCTTTTGCTGCTGCGCCAACATGTCAGCTGACAGACTGAGATGGGGAATGGGGAAAGGGGAATGGGGAAAGGGGAATGGGGAAAGGGGAATGGGGAATGGGGGACGGGGTCCTGACAAGTAAACACGCCTACCCACCCACTTGATATAAAGCTGGATGAAAGCGAAAGGTGAAAGGAGACTAGAAAAAAAAACTAGAGGGTAGAGCAGAAACACGCTAACAAGCAAAATTATGCAAATCAAATTATACGATGACAATGTTAAGGCTGCTGGCGGACAAGGCCACAAGGGCAGCGTGAGTGACACTGACAGCCTGTGATAAGGCTCCTGGTGGCCAGCAGAAGGAGCTGGAGGAGCTGGAGGAGCAGAAAAAAGCAGGAAGAGCAGCGGCAACCATAGTTGACTTAGCCCAGTCGAACGTCAATAATGTGGAGAGGAAATGTGTCACAGACCGGCAGACCGGAGACTTCCACAGCGACTGGGAATCGGAAGGAGCACCAGGCACAAGGGCATCGCAACTAGAGATGCACTGTAAGATAATGGCAATACAAATGGCAACAAATTGCAAGGAGTTTAATCAAGCAGTTTGTTTTTTTAAGAAAATATTTCATTGGATTTTGAAAACCAATTTGTATCATTTAATGCCATTATGTTTTATGATTTGGTTGCTTTCAAAGTGACTCTCATTTTCATCTCAAGTGCTAGGCATAATGCCCATTTTTTTCGCGCAGTGCAGCTTTGTGAATCGATAAAAACCAATTTCCACTCACTCATTCCGCACTCGCCCAGTGACGAGAGCAATCAATTACTAGATTTCCCACATGGCCGCCCACCTCCTTCAGCACGACGGACTCTCATCTTACCATCATGTCCTCGGGTATGTAGAAATCGGATACGGCCGCCGCTAGGTAGAGCACGGCCCGCTCCTCAAAGGCGGCCAGGCACTCGCAGGCGGCCCGCAGCAGCCACATGTAGTCCACCACGCTGGTGAAGTTCACGTACAGTATCATCTGCGTTTCGCGGGCTATCTTGTACTTGGCCAGCACCGGCGCAAACACGTCCACCGAATCCGGCTTGATGGCTATCGTCGAGCTCTGACTATTGTCCGCGATGTCCAGCATGTCGAAGAACTGCTGGCCGGTGAAGTGGCGCGTAAAGGGCTCCAGCGACTTGTGGCGGTGCATGAAGATCACGGCGTAGTCGTGATCCAGGAAGTATTCCGCCGAAGCGGATCCCCGAGTGCCAGCGCTGAAGTTGTCCACAAACCGCACCGTATTGTGCTCCAGTGGGACTGTGGTGCCACCGGACTGAAATTGGAGAAAAAATCATTATATTACCAAAGATTTAAAATGCTTTTGGCTATGATTATGGGTTTAGTCTTTCGTTACGGCAATCGGTCAGAAAAAGGATAAATATGTTTCCTTCGGCACCAATATTTCATCTAAGGTAGTAAATCAATATCTGAAATGTATCAGCACATTGACCATAAATCTTAGGAATATAAATCTGCATGCCTTGTTGGTTATTATTCACATAAACTATCCAAGGATTAGATTGCAGCTGAGAATAAACACTCGTTGATTTTGTTCATTAACACACAATAGATTTAAAATAAACGAAAGCTTGTTTAAGTCAGAATAGGTACATTTGCAAAATCTCTGCAACATAATTGCAAAATTAAATTTTATTTACTCAAGCTTAATGTCTAAACTTAATTTTGTTTTACTGATAAATTTAACTTTTAAATGATAACTTTGCTGGTTTGCGCAATTTCTATACTCGCCTTAAAAATTATCGCACAAGAGTTTGATTTATTTGCTTATACTTAAATGTAGAAGACAAACATTTAAACTATTGCTTATTCTGAAATAAAATGTTCTTAGCAAATCGGAAAAATTAAACCAGATATGTAAATTTCATTTAAAATAACATTTAAGTCGTATTCAAAATATATGCATTAAACATTTGCATTTTGAAAACAAAGTTGTCTTCATTTACATACTTTCTTTAACATGCCACTTCCTAACGAGCCTCAGAACATTCATTGTTTTCCTAACTTTAAAAATAGTTTAAAATGATTCAAATTTTTTGCCCTCCTTCCGACTGTGTTTTAACATAAAGACTTTTATTCTAGCTGATTTAAATTTATGCAGACAAACACTTTGTGCTTTGTTTTTGAGGCCCCACGAGCCCGTTTTGCCATTAAAGCATTCACCCGTTTTGGGGTCAGCTCAATGCCAGTTCACCGGACTGTTAATTAACTGAGTAGCGTCTTTAGTGAGGTGGTTGGACCCTAATCCTAATCCGTGACCAGGATTGACCCAGCCTGCTTACCGTGACTAGGACGATGCGGTTCTGGAGTTTGTTGTGGCGCTCGCAGAACTCCTTGAGCAGCGAGCGATTGTCCTCGAAATCCGCTGGCGGCAGGTGTGTGTTGTAGAAGTCCTCCCAGTGCGTCATGTTGGCTTATACTTTTTGGTTTATTCCTGCTAATTGGCCGCCAAACGGAAGCTCGAAAATAACGGAAAATAGTTTTTCCGCCGGAAACTATGCTCTGCTAATAAATAAACACAAAATGAGCGCGGCAGCAAGCGAAATTAATTTAACACACTGCACTATTTTGGCGTACTATTTTAATTGATTGATTTGCTTTGCACTTTGGAAAAGGGGGGAGCGTCGAGGGGCAGGAGCGGGGGCGCTGCTTATCAATGGAACTGTAGAGAGGAGCGCGCGGAAAGAGCGGATTGAGCGGAAATGGAGCGCTCTGAACGGAGAGCGAACGAAAATGCTGGCGCAGCTGTGAAAATGCGATGCGATGTGCACGGCAGCGAGTTTCGCGGGATTCTGAACCGAAAATGCGACGGACAATTGGACGGCGGAGGAGGACGAACCGGAATGCGGACAGGCGCACTCTAATTCGTATCTTTGTTCGCACGAAAACGGGGCGCAAGGTTCAAAGTGCAGGCCAAAAAACGCGATGGCCAGAGAACAGCTGATGGCAGTGTTGGGTAGCGCGTGAAGGGGAGCCTATGCGAACTGGTTCCGGCGAATGCAGCAAACTTGTTGCTTGTCAGGATTACAATGACTGTAAAATTGTCTACAATCACATTTTATGCAAACAAATTAGCTTGAAGTTTCTTAAGATAATAATTTCTTTCTTGTCTCTGTCAGCTAGCATGTGATTCGGGCATATATAAACCTTTATGAACTAGTTGATAGCTTAATGGTTCTAATGAACTAGATAAGGCAAAGTTGGCTGCACTTCGTATACCTTGTGAGTGTTGTTAAGTACTCAAAAGCGCGCACAATTTGAATTCAAATTTTATGGATAAAATGCATAAGTTGCAAATTAACAACTTTTTACACACTTTAATGTGGTGTGTTTAGCCGGTTAAAACTCCTTAGATTGATTGATTGCATATCCACTTGCCTTTGAGCAGTAAAAACTTTGAAATTTAAAATGGGACTAAAACAACTTGTATTTAATGGTTTCCAATAAAACATTGCAAAGCCATTTTCTGCCGGTTCTAAAAAGGCTCTAAATTAATCATTTCTAAAAAAAGAATGCCGTTAAATATTTATATTTTTAAAGAGTGATTCTAAAACGTGTTCTAAGTCCCGTCTAAAGTAAGAACACCTTATTGAAAATTTCGTTTACATTTACAAATACTTGTTTATTATCGATTACAAACGTGGGCTCTATGCATATTGTTAGTGCAAGGACGTACAAAAGAATCTCTAGAACAATATCACAGAAACTTACTAACTAATTGGCGCTTGTCAACTGCGCTGCTAGAAATCGGATTTGACCTTTAGCATCGCCATTAGAGTGTAATTGGGAAGCGGAATGCTTTTCAGCTTGTCGTGGAAATTTATGGCATTCATTAGACGTTTGAGCGCGCTCTCCATCCTCGTTGTCGCTGGGTTTGTCGTTTAAATTGTGCGATGAGTGCGCACTTTAAACCGAAAGCAGGTCCAATTGCCGTACACCGGATCGGATCAAATCGGACCAGATTTTTTAGACGGGCTACGCCCTGGGCGTGGTGGTTGGGGCATAAACGTGATAATCGATGTCGTCGCCACCCGCTTCCTCCTCCAGGTCCCGGTTCACCAACCGCTCGCGCATGCCGTACCGCTGCCTAATGAAGAAAAGAGGTGGCGAAGAATTAGCACTATGGAAATTAGGACAATTAGCTGAGCGAGCACTTACTCCAGGTGCGAGCGCCATATGACCAGGCCGGCGTACAGGCAGATGGAGACCAAGGCCAGTGCCACCACCACGATGCCGAGCAGCACGTGCCCCTGGCTGACCGCATCCGATTGCACGTCCACCGGGGTCATCTCGATGTTCTCGGAGGCGAAGGTGTCGGTATCCGTGCTGAAGACAACACCACGTCCCTTGAAGCGCTCCTCCAGATCATCATCGTCGTCCATGTTGCTGTCATCCTGGTCTGCATCTCCAGATTCCAGGATCTCCACATCGTACTTGTAGTTCTGGGCCAGCACCACGTTGGTGGCCGAGTTCAGTTGGTCCTCATCGCGATGGGGATACGATCGCCTTGGCTGTTCCTCCGATTCCGCTTCAGAGTCGGAATTTGAGGAAGTATCCTACAAAAAAGAAATTTAAAAAAATTAGAAGTTAGACTTATGATTACTTAAGCTTTACTTTAATCAAAACATAATATAAAAACATTCATACCCTATACTTCATACCCTAATTTTTACCCTATCTTATCTAAAAAAAACTCCTAGACTTCCGGTTTGATAACTAAATAATTCGCCTTGAATTTAAGGGATTAATACTAAAACCAATAGAATTGAGTACCCGTTTTTTACCATGTAGATCCATCACCAAACAAAAAGGGGCTCGTGTCATCGATGCGGCTTTCGCTTGTCGGTTGAGTAATTGATTTCCCCCGGCACGTGATTCTATGCAAGTTCTATGCCGAATTTGGAAACTAGCATTTGAAAGTGGGCGGCGCAAAAGTAGCCCGTCTACATTGTGGAGGCGTTTTTAAGGTGCCTTTTTTTCATACATTTTTGAGCTCATTTCTATTTATGAAGTCTTAAAAAAAGCTTCAAACATTTTTGTGACTTCGGTTTAAGAGAAGACAATATAATATATTGGTCTTGTAATTTCATTTCACAGTGCATAACTTGCAAGTCATTGTATTTAATAATAACTTTCAAGAAATTTAGTTCGAACGATTAACCAACGATTAACGAACGATTAAATTTATAATTTTCCATTTCGTATTAAGGAATTTATAAAATCTAATTGTGGTTTTAATTGTACAACTAAGTTAAATAGTTGGCTTGGTAACAAGACTAACAATTAAAATTTAAATATTATGACAAGGAAATCGGAACTCTTGCTGACTCATTGACTGAAACTGAAACATTAAACTTCTCCCCATATTAATCATCACTTAAAAGCCGACTCGTCTTACTTACGTCTTTATTACCCAGTGATAACTGCCGGTTTTTGATTGCCAAACACCTGTTCTGGAGTCTTTACTCATATGAAGTTGGCTTTGTTTACAACTGTTTAAGTTAAGCTAGTGCCAGGGTATGAATTTCATGTTATCAGTAAGGTTAGCCGAACTTATCTTGCATAATGTGTTACCCATATTTTTCCATACCGTATGTTAATTACTGCCGCAACTAAGTTGTTTACAAAACAGTAACTGCCAGAGATCACTCTCACTCGAAACCTTCTGTAGATTGTTGGCCCCGATGACCGCAGGGGTCGGGATGTGAACTTTGTTACAATATTTAACGACTACGTGACTGGTTTGCGACTCTGTCTGAAACTCATTTGCCGCAAGCTACTTTATCTGGTGTAATTGTCCGATTTGTTTACAACTAACGACTTTAAGCAAGCCATATAAAAAGGTGACATGCACGAGATCAACTTGGGAGATCTCGAAAATCGTAATCTGATCAGAGGCCCCCGTCGATGGAATTTCGTGACTAAGTCGATGAAAAGCCTCATTGGCGTGTGATAGCCGCCGTTTCTTTAATTTTATGCAAAGTTTTACTGCGTGCGCTTTTTTCTCTTTTTGTCTTTATAAGCATTTCTTGGGAGCCTTAAAAGGCAAACGCCGCGCGTGTCTTGTGCTGGTTGTGCATTTAATCAAAGTGAAAATAAATAAACATTTTTAAAGCGTAAATTTCCGGTTCTGGTTAAAAAAAAACCGAAAAATGCATTGGCTCGTATTTCATTTCATTCTTTATGTTACTCAGTGCGTCACTCAGTCGGCTTTGTCCCGTCCTGTTTCCCGGCCAAAAAGCCTGGCCCAGTTACCCCCCCAGTTTTTGGCCAACTCACCTCCACGACAGCTGTCTTATTTTTGGACAGTCCTCCTCCGCCTCCTCCGCCCCTTAGATCACTTAGCTCCGTTTGCGTTGCACTCAAATCCTGCGAGGGCTTGGCTTGGGCTAAAAGAGAAAGCAATTAAGCAGAAATGAGTTAATGCTGTTGTCGGTTAAATTAGCCGGGTATTTGGTTACAGCTTATCGGGCTACCTGAACAGATCTCTTCCTACTTTCGTGGAAGCGCAAATATTTGTGCCGAGATTTCGCAAATAGCACCTTTCAGCCACATTGCAGGCCATTAAAACACACGGCCAGATATGTTTGCCTATCTGCCAGCTCCGATTTTATTCAGAACTAACCTACGGATTGTTTTGCTACCACGGCTTATCAGTTGACTATTTGGCAAACAAAATGAAATCGTGTTGGAGCTATAAAACCGGTATTAATTAGCACAAACGCGCTCAACATAATAGGAAATGTTTGCTGTCAACAAAATATTTTTTACCAAAAGGTTACCAAATACGAAAATGTGTTTTTCAAGCTTTACTTAAAACTCTTTTCAAATTTGCCTAAAGCAGTTAATATAAATTTATTTCTAGATTATTTACATTTTTGAAAAACAAATGATTTAAAACAATTCTTTCAAAATAGTTTGCCGTCAATGGCATCCCAGAAAATAATTTCTTTTTAGGATTTATTTAAAAAAAAAAGAGATATTTTTGTTTTAGTTTTTAAAAACATAAGGTTAAATAATACGAAAATATGTTTTTTAAGCTTTATTTGCTAATATTTATAATTGATAATTCTTTTTATGTTCCGTTAAGCGGAAAAAATAAATTTATTTCTTGATTATTTACACTTATCAAAATATTATAAGGTAAAATCAAGTGATTAAAAACTATGATATTAATGTAAAAAACAGTTGTTCAGAATTTGTTTAAAAAGAAAAAAAAATATATTTTTGTTTTATGTTTTGAAACCAATGATGATATCCTATTTCCATCACTGCAGCTGTACTGGTTGCTTGGTATTTTGCAAACCTGTCCATATATACTATATAGCACAAATCGAACAATAAACACACATTTCTAATGCCGCAAACGTTTGCCAATGCCGATCGTTATACGCTGGCTGGGAAGCTTCCGAAAAATTCCACATAAGCCAAAAACAATTCGAAAAAGCACATGATATAGCGACGACGTCTTGCAGTTTGACATTCGTAAGTCACCCAGTTTTGATTTCAGTACGTGACGATAGCCAAAGGCTTGTCCCAGAGAAAACTTGATCCACTTTTGACAAGTGTCAAAGAGTTGAGACTTTCTTATCACACATCTTTGGGGAAAATAATAACTTAAGTCCTTTGATTATAAAGTTCTGACACCTCATAAGCTACAAGGTATATACAAGAATTTAACTAGTTATCACTTGTATAGAAATCATAATCATATGCAAAAAATGTGTGGGCAAAAAAGAAATAAATTTAAAAAAATTTGTTTGTCAAACTAGGATAAAACCAACAACAAAAACTTAAATTTTACAAATATTTTCTTTACAAAGTTCTTATAATTTTTAAAAACGTATTGGTTTACAAATTCTTTGAAAAACTTGTTTTTATGAGTCACTATTTTAAAGGTACCAATAACAATTCTTTTTAAATCCTTTTGGTTTTCGTTTTGAAGGGACTTGAATGGCATACGCTATTATTTTGTCGCACAACTGTTAAGTTACAATAACTGCGTATCAATCATGTACCATATAGCGCAAAAGCCCTGGCGAAATCTTATCTGCAATGCGAGCCAACTGGAATCCCATGGAATTAAAGTCTTGCAATTTAGTTATGCGACCTGGCGGGACCTTGATGGACGATTCATTGCGATGAGACGGCGGGCGGTTCCCTTTCAATAAAACCCCCATATTTATGCGTTGTAAGCCTGGCTTACAAAAGCCAAAACGAGCCCAAGCCCGAACCGGACCTGGTCTTGGCTCTTGGCTCTTGGCTCTTGGCTGTTGGCAGGCACTTAAGGCAAAAGGGTGAACCGTAAACTGTTAACTGTCTAGCCAAGTGGCCGCGCCATCTCATCCAGCTGCGCTCGAAACTAGTTTCCCTGCAGAAGTGGAAATATCGGGTCTCCGGGGCTATGGCTATCTATCTTTTATGGCCGTTGTCATTGTAGATATATATCTGTTGTGGTACTCACAATCAGCCAGCAGCAGAACCAAAAGAAGCGCGCTGTAGAAGGCTAAACTTTTTTGCAGTGCCATTTCGCGTTTGTTGATAATATGCGGGTACCGTCACTTCCTTTATCAATTGGCTTATCACACGGCCACAAGTTACGCGCGCCACTCAATCGCTGGATATTTTGGTATGAATAAGCCTTCGGGCCACTTATAAATATTTATGTTTTTTTCGTTCCGCACACGAATTTTGCGTGCGTTCGCGTCGAGGTTTCTGATTGAAATGAAAAATTGAGAGCCGCACGAAGTCTGGTTAACTGCCACAGCTCGTTTAGCTATGTTAACCGATCAAGGTCTCGAGCAGTAACATTGTCTTTATCGTAACAGAGATACACGAAGTCGGCTAAAGTTAGGGGTAGTCAAAATTATTTTAAATTATTAAAACTTATAAAACTTGTAATTATAAAAAAAAATATAAAATAGCTATATATATTTAAATAAAAAGCCATGGACAGATAAATAACAGAAAGGGTGCTGAATGTGTTGTACCTATTCAAAATAAATGTTTTTCGAATATAGTGGTCTATTCTAAATTTTCGAATATAGTGGTCTAAAGTTTTCTAGGAAAATAAAAAAAATAAATCTTAAAAAAACCAACTTTGTATCTGTTTCAAAATAGAAAGACAAGATTTTCTTATTTAACAAGCCATAGTTTTAATTTAGCAACAAACTATCCTTTTCCCACAAAACAGCGAATGTATTTTGGGAACGATACTAACTAAATTCACATTAGTTACTTAAATTAATATAAAATGTAATCAAAAGAAAAAAAAAGTAGAATAGCTTATGCCATCTCATTTATACCATTTCAAATTTTAATTTTTTTTAAATTTTAAAAAATAATGTTTAGTTTTTCTAAAAGATATGTTAAAACCATTTGATAGGTGTCCCCAATTAATTAAATGGATTATGTAAAAGTATTGGAGTTTTTATTTTCTACACATAGTAGCCTGGCGCTTATGATTTGCAACCATAAACTTGGATGTCTGTGATTAGGGTAAGGTAACATAACACTTATATCTCAAGAATTCACCAGTTGCTTCAATGGTATATCTAAAAGTATTCAAGTATTTATTTTTTTTTCTAGACATTCTGAGAGGCGCTTGGGTTTACGTACAACTCTTTGGATTCTGTGTGTACAGTCAATTTGCCGTGCCCAAGCTGCGCTGGGCGAATTCCATATTTACAAGAGAAGGGGTCGGGATGGGTTGGGGTGGGTTGGTGCCTTAAAATACCTAAACTCAACTATACTCAACAATTTGTCTTATGGTCACTACTTATACGCCTATGCCAGCGACATAGCATGCTTGCACTTTAAAACTTTAAGCTTCAACGTTTTAGATTTGGCCAGGACACACCAGCGGAGGAACCACGATCCCGACGGCCACTCCCTTCACCGCTCATCGTTGTGGGTTGACCGGTGAGGGGCGTGGCCGCAAGGAACGGCCGACCGGGGGCGTCGTTGGGGGGAATGAGCCGCTCCGGAGCCGGCAGATTGCTGCGCCCGGAATTCGAGGGGGAATCTTTCGCGGGACCGACCAGCAGCCCCTGCCGGGCGGACACAGTCGACTAGTGGCGGACAAAACTTTCAAAGCAATCGAAAGCGAAACCTTTGTACACACTTGATAGAGTCCTGCGGGTCGAGTTCGTGGTCAATGCGTTGTCAATGCTCAGTGTCCAGTGATCAGTGATCTTTTCGTTCGTTTTGTGGATGAGAGAATGAGGGAAACTTAAACGGCTCGGTAAAAAAGGAAAGGCGTGACAACGCGCTAAACAAATTGCTCCTGGCTATTGGCGGACAGCTCCATCAGCCGCCAGGCAGCCTTGGGGTTGAGTTCGTTGCGGTCGCGGCACAGCACCCAGACGTAATGCACCCGCATCACCTTCTCCGGATCGCCCTCGACAACCTGATTCTTCTGGTCCCGCACGCACATGATCTGCTGCGCCTGGAACGTGATAATCAGCACGGGACCCTGTTCCATCACCTTGCCCATGGCCAGTTCGATGTTCTCGATGTCGAGGATCTTCGAGTCCAGGTACAGGCCGGCCTTCTTAGCCTGCTGGATGGGCGTGGCGATAATGTTGAACGTGCTCTCGAAGCACCAGTCCTTCAGTATCTCCAAATCGCCCCTGACAATCGACTCCAGAATGTTTGGAATGATGTCCGTTTCGCAATCGTGCAGGAAATCCTTTTGGTCAAAACTCGGATCGATCTTCACCAGCTCCGTCATCGTTTCGGACAGCTCTGTTTTCGAGAAGAGGCCGCCCATCACGTCGGACACTTTATCGGTTAGCAGGCGGGAGGCACGGATCACGGGATTCTCAGACTCGTCGTACTTCACCTTCCAGTCGAGCACCTTGTTCACGTAGGTATTGTTGTTCTTGAAGTTCTCCCACGATTCGTAAAACTTGGAGTCCTTGTGCAGCTCCATGCCTGGGAAGTGGAATGGAATTGGTTTAATAAACTTCATATTTTGTGAAACATATACAAACTAACCAGTTGCCTCCGTGTTGGGCTCCACAATGCGATCGCTGTCGCTCATATCCAGTTGGACGCGCTTGCGCAGCTGGGCGGGGGCGCGGTAGACCCGATTGTCTATGCTCGCATTGTCCATCTCCTTCTTGATGATCGTCGTCGTGTTGGAGATGGCCTGGAAGGCGCCGGACTGGCCCAGCTTGCCGCTGGTGTCCGTGATCGTGTCGCTGACACCCTTGGCCTTCTTCGACAGCTCCTCGGTGACCTTCTTGGCCAGGTCGGACTTGCTGGCATCGTCCAGGACATCGCCCACGCGCTCCTTGATGGCACCCAGCTGCTCTTTCAGCTTGCTGGACGACTTCTGCGCCTCCGATTCGACAATGTTGAACTTCTGCCGCGCCGACTTTAGCGCGTCCGACTCCTCCAGCTTCTGGGCCTCCTCGCGGAACTTACGGATGTTGTCCTTGATCTCCTTGTTCTTGTCCATCTCCGATTTCATGTTGTCGAAGAACTGCGAGAAGAAGCCGACCCTGCGACCTGGCGCGCTATAGAAACGCGGCTGCGGGATAAAGTCATGACTTAATCCGGGTGCTCCTTGGGATCTCAACAGCCCAAGGCTCACCTGCGGCTGCTGCAGATTCTGCGAGGCCTGCTGGCACGTGAAGAGGCAGGCGCGATCCCGCGCAAGGGCAGCTATTCTGTACTGCAAAGGAGAAAAACCATTACAATCTCGCCCGTTTTAACCTCGAAATGTGCACATGTATGTAGGGGGGGTCGCTTGGGACAGCTTCGAAACACGGGATCTGAGAGAACCTACCATGGTGGGGATTGGGTAACCTTTCGCAGGGGGTTCGATCGGTGGCGAATGTTCGGGAGTATGGCGTCAGAGGCTCTAAACTTTATGTAATTTCTGCCGCGAACCACGCACGTATCAGTCAGCTGTTCTCTTCGTTCAGCGCGCGCCGGTGTTGGAAAGCGTCCAATCTTCGTCTGCGGGCGCGATAGTTCGATTCGTCGGTAATCCGATAGTCCCGGGCCGATAACATGCGATGCGCGCGATATTTGAATTGTGTGCAATAATTGTTGTTGTGCCGGCGTGTGGCGCGTGTGGGTGACTTGTTTTAGGGGATATTTTCTGTATTTTTCATTGATATATCAAGCTTAGCTGCTGTGTTTTTGAATAAGTTTCCATTGCGCGGTGTTCAGTTGTAAAAGACACATAAACATAACATCATAATTATGGAGATCTAGATAGTAATTCAATTTAATTTTAACTATTATATTATGTTAAAACATAATTTTGATACCTCTAGCCAAGAACTAAAAGTGGAGAAACAACGTGCTTCAAATTGTCATCTGGATTGCGTGAAAAATATGTATGTTGCATGGGGCAACGTAACGAAAAGAAGGTACAAAGCCATTGTGGTCAATGTCCAGGGTGCTTCTAGTTTTGCCAACAGAAACACAAACAATCCTATAAGGAAAATTATCATGAGCAAGCAGTGTTGTGGCAGAGGGAAAGCAGTGTAGAGATGGTAAAACCGATGCGTAGAAAACATCGATGACATCGATATTGGCATCGATCCTTCTCCACCTCTACCAAGATCCGTTAGTTGGCGCGCGCAGCTTTTCCAAAAAATTCCAAGAACTCTGCTGAGATAGTAGCCACAAAGCTGACGCCAGTTGTCTCCGGGACATACATTTTTTTTTTTTGACTACGCGACACGGTAAAACACCCAAAGCCGAGTTTTGTTATATGTACATTTTTTAGATTAAGAAGTATCGCGAATACTTCAGTTAATTAAACCGCTTGGTTTTTGGGTGAGGATCTGTGGAAAGTAGAGTGCGCGATAACGGTAACTTTCAACCCAAATTTCGCAATGTTCCGCAGCAACTTGGAAGCCAGTGGCGCAGCAGTAAGTGCCGCTTTCGGAAAAAAAGTCCCGTTCCGTGTTACAGGGATAACACTTCTTTTGCACAGGACAATTTTGCTGCTTTCCACGCAAGAGGGGGACTCAACATGCTGGGCCTGCAGGACATGTTCCTCGACACCAGTGGCGCCAACTCATCGGCCACACTCAGTCCGCCCAGCACCCCTCTGACGCCGCTGACCCCTGACCCGTCGACTGCCGCCCAGACGACGCACTTTCCCCTTTTGGCGGACAGCGCCGCCGCTGCCAATACGCTGCTGCTCCAACGGCAGTATCATTACCACTTGCTGCTCCAGCAGCAGCAACAACAACTAGCCCTGGCGCAGCATCAGTTGGCCTTGGCGGCTTCAGCGGCGGCAGCCAGTGCAAATCACCAGCAGAAGGACGAAATTGCGCGATCGTTGAAAATCTTTGCCCAGCTGACGACGGGCGCAGCAGGTGAGGAAAGAGAGGCCGAATAGGGAAATGGCGTCGTGGAAAACAAAGATACAAAAGCAATGGGGAAGAACGAGACAACTGGATGTCGAAGTACAGTTAGGCCAAAGTCAAGAGCTTAGTTCAAAAGGGGTTTTATAGAAGCACAGCTCAGAACTATTCAGTTGGGCAACAAAGAGAAGTGTTTACTTATTTGTTTTGAATTTCTGGCTTTAAACATTTTAAAAACAAATGTTAAATTACTTCTCATTTAATATAAGTGTTCTGCTAGATTATTTTGTTTACCCACAATAACTTCTCTTACATAGCCCCTTTAACAAATAGTGCCGAACGCCTCTGGCTCTTGGGTCACTGACCATTGCAACACTTGCGCTATTCCTTCTTCCAACGCCACATA